AGTTGAAGGATGGATTTGAGGAAAATGAAGAAGGAAAAGTAAAATTACTGTACAACGAAAGAGTTTGAATTAACTAAAAAATTACCATTACTATATGATTTAGGGTCATATTTCCTTAATGTATATATATACGTATGTTCACAATTATGTACATGTTAACTCTACTACAAGTAGGACACATCATATTTTCCTTCATTGTTTTAAAATTTTTAACTTTTTTACTGAAAAATATAATGTTACCTTTCCTTCAAAATTGTAGTATTTTTTAATGCGAGAAAATTGACAAGATTCTACGTTTAGACGGTGTAGTTGTAGCTGATGATATCATGATGTGAGTTATTCTTCAGATTTTAATATACATTATACGTTGTGTTCCTGAAAAAGTGACTCCAAAGTAATAAATTAACCTATTGTGATAATTTCGATCATAATGTTAATCCTACTGGTGCATTCATGTGCATGTTTTAATGTTGTCTTAAATTCCTTGGAGTAAAAAGCAACTTTAGTGCTTGCAACGAAGATATGTATTATAGCGAATCAAACAGCTGACAAGAATTTGTGCAAATTATTAAAGTACGTAAGATCTAATTTATGACGATCTTCTCTTTCCTTCGCCCTTTGTTTTTAAGAATATCCTTTTTTCGTAAAGTCCAGTTATTATTGGACAAGAGGGAAGTTATCGCAACGAGGTACATGTACGCTGTAGAGTAAAAAAAAAGAAAAGCGTTTATTGGAAAAAGTGCGTGAAACACGAGTGCGTAATCGATATACCACCCTGGGCGCTTAACACTGTATAACAGCCTTGGTTCCTTACTTACGTACAGTAGCATACACGCCCATGACATGAGAAAAATTAACTGAGCTTTAAACATACGGGGGAAATGAGAAAGAGGTTGTCGATATTTGGCAAAACACTTGTGGCAAAATTTGAAAGGAAGACAATTCTCCTTGACACCCAAACATTCCACGATGAGAAAATCAGATAGAAACTAGTGTATGGTCACAGAATGATTATACAGAAGGGTCACTCAGGTGTAAAACACGTCCTCATGTCGGCCATTATTCCAGCCAGATGATTAGGTTTTCTCACTTGTTTACAACCATTAAAATTACATGACGTCAATATTTAATAATGAATTCAAGTATATTTTGACTTAAAAAATGACTTCGGATCATTTTATAGGTTTGGAAAAAGTCAAAAACCTTAATCAACTTGCTGGAATAATGACGGCCACTATGCGCGGCACGACTTGCGCGACGACAAAAACATCAAAGGTTCCGACACGAATGACTCTTCTGTATATTCTTATTTTTCGGTACGGTGCTATAGTCAAAAACTCATATGAGTTTGTATTCACTTCATTTATTGGAAGTAATCTCAACTGTTTTTGGGTAAAATGACCATGACGAGAAACATGGCATATGTGCCATTTCCTCAAACAGGTTCGAAAGTCCTGAAATCAGAACTAATACAATTTTAATTAATTATAGACACAATAAAAAAATCACATGGTGTTCAGGGTGCTTATCAAAACATATAAATGTTACTTTTCCTTCAAGATTGAAGTGTTTTTGTGATATCTTTTAATTTTAATCTAAGGCCTGTTTCAAACGTCGAACTTCATGACATGAGTTTCCTCATTATCTTTTGTTTTAAATGCGTTCGGTTCATGTAAAGTTCGACGTTTGAACTAGGCCTGAGTATCATCAAACACTTTTAAGTTCTACGTACGTTCTTTTTTTGTTTTCTCACAACTTTCATCCCTAATTATAGCTCCTGTCAACATGTCCGATTCTTATTGATCACAATTACGTATTAAACTATTAAGTCATTAGTATTAAAGTATCTGTTTGCTACAACTTTAATGTAAGAGAATTGATAAGATTCTACGTGTAAAAGATGTAATTGTAGCTGATGATCTCACCTTGTGAACCATTCTTTACCTACATATATACATTATACGGGGTGTTCCCAAAAAGGAACAAATACAGGATGTATAAAAAAACAGTATTATAAAATTCAGTTTATTCTGAAAATTTAATTCCTGATCACCATGTCCCACTGGTGCATTTTTCTGAACTAAATTCTAGGAGACTAATGATGTGCATGAAAGTCGTTTGATTTAGATTTGGAATCCTGCAAACCATTCAAATCACAAATCAACTTTTGAATTATGTCTATTTATAAATAAGTTGTATTGTTATATATATTGTATTGTTTGGTGCTGTGTATAGTAATTGCGATTGGTTCATTAGTAGTCACATGACTTGAAATAAATGCACGATTTCCTGCCAGCAAAACAAGTGAAAAGGTGTTGCCCGCTCATTTTAATATCATAACGAATAAAACAGCCACCAAACCGAAAACTGAAAAACGTTTCTCGAGCTTAAACGTTTCTCGAGCGACGAAAATCAACTATTAATAAAAAAGAATAAAGAAAAAGTCTACCTAAATTGCTGTGGTAAATTATAGAAATTTGCAACGAAATTTTGCCGGCCGATTTCCACCACCCCCGAAAGACTTTGATTTTATTGAACAGTTGTCAAAATTTGATTTTTTCCCTTTATAACAAAACACTTAATGTACTCTCCCTGGGGAAATAGTGAGCCTAATTTCCAGAGAGTCCCAATATAGGTTTGGTGTAGTGGACAAACGTGAAAATTATTTAAGACACTATGTATATAGATCAACACACTTACATTGTAACAATTTTGTAGAAAACATATTTATACAACGATTTTTTCCAACATTAACATACTAATATAATAAAACCATGTTAATACGTGTTAAAAAACAAAGTTCAACAAAACACTGCGCAAAAAGAAAGTTTCTCTCTAAATATTTTCTACAAGTGCTAAATGAATAAATCCCAACCAGTCTTTAAAATAGCAACTGTAATTGTTCTGTTTTGATAAAATGTGGGTATTTTTCAACTTTCTTTAAAAGATGACAATTACCAACAAATAATGTCGCTGAATGTGAGTGAAAGTCATTATACAACTATTGAATGCTTATTTTAAAAATTGGTATTTTTACGACACCTCCTTTTCTAAAGCACAAGTAATCTTCACATGGCAGAAGGAAAAGTAATATTACTCTAAAAAATGGTGTTGAGTTATGTGGGATTCATTTATTTAGCATTTAAAATTTAAAAAGCAAAAGAAAATCAAGAAGCGTAAAGAAAATGTGCAGTAATGAAAAGTCTGCATACAGTCAAGCTACTCGTAAACGGACATCCTTGAGACCACGACCTAATGTCTGTTTACGGTAGATGTCCGTTTATGAGTTGTTATGAAAGATATCTATTAACTATACGTAGATATATACACAACAATATGAAATAAATTTAATGATATAAAGTTGTTCCCTACATAAAAAATAAAACACAGTGGATTTAGAAATATGACATCTCGAAAAAGAAAGACGTTGAAATTTTGCCATATTTTTCATTCTCATAACTTGATGTAGTTGTTAGATGTTGAAGTTACTTTAGTTGTGAATTTGTTGACCATTTACATGAACTAAACTGATCACTTTTATTGTACAACCATCCATAGTTGACGTTTGCTTTGAATTTTCATGACATGTTGATGTTGAGATCTTAAATCATATCACACAGGTTATCGTATCAAGTACATATATACTTAAGAGCATGCGCAAAGGCAATCAAATGTCATAATATTCACAATGACAGTGTGTTTGTATCAAGAAGCAGCTTCAATTATAGATGCAGCAAAAAATTCCCTTTAGCCATCTCCAATAGCCACAATGTAATAAAATCAAATTCTTTTTATTCACTCTCATGATTACTTATGCGTTATGTTCACATCAAAACGTCCACATGAGATGATAATTTTTACGTTTCATTTTGATAAAAAGTGAACAAAGTGAACAACCAGCTTCACCATTTTAAAAATGTAAAAGTTCATATCTTCCAATTTTGACAACAGATGACATTTCAATGAACACGTGACCTGGGTGACGTTACAAAGTAAAACAATAAATCCACAGAGAACCAGGGTATAAAAATTTGCAATTTCTTTCTTTACGTCACTTCCTGAAGTAAAGCTTCTCCTTCTTGTATTATCGTTTGAATTAGGAGTAGACGATGGAATTTTATAGGCAAGCCTAATAAACATATCAAACTTTGGCAAAGTAACTTGCAATATGTCCACTGATTGTTAAAAAAATCCCCTAAAGTATCGATTCACAAATTAAAAGTGTTCAAACTTTAACAATGCTTGATATCGATTTTTCATTAAAAGTGAAAAACTTGTCATTAAACATCCTTCGATATGCAACATTGTGGTTTGTTTTCTTTCTCTCTATATTGAAAAACTTTCTTTGACTTTTGTTAACTTTTCCTGTTTGTACAATAACACATGGTTTGGAGTGTTCCATCTCAATGGTTAAATTGTTTATCACGATGATAAACCTCAATCATAAGTCTTTTCTTGTCGAGTTTACGATTTACTTTTTAACAGTCAATGACAAAGACAGCCAAATTTGTAGTTTTTCTTCAAAAAATAGCAAAGATACCATTGTTTTATTAAAAATTTACGTTTTTCAATTTGATAAAGATGAAAATAATCTTACAACCGAAGAAACAATTGGGCTACCTTTGTCTCTCATAAAAACTTAACAAATAGATATTTTTTATATCAAAATGCAATAATTAAAAAGTATTAAGAAATTATTTCAGTGCAAGTATTGATTTAATTAGTAACTTGTTTTTGGTGTAAAAGAATATCGAAAAACGTGCAATATTAAAACCAGCCTACACTGAATACATTTGCATGAAAATTATATGTTTACGTGGTGTAGATATAAACAAAATATGACCTATGGTACAATAACTAACAATAGTTTTCATTTTATATGTTTGTGTGATGAGATAAAAGTCAATAAAATTATTTTCTTGTGCAAGGAAAATTATTATCTTAGACACGAAATCATTTGTGTTTATGGTTTGTCTTTATTGTCATTGAATTTTCATCTATAATTGATTAACTTAAGCTTTTATACATGATCTCTCTCAATGTTGACATTATCGTACACTGCGGTCTCTGTACAGAACAATGAAACTTAGACAAAGGTCGTTTCATAAAATCATACGCAAACGGACATTAATTCAAATGTCAACAATGATAGGGATCATGCATAAAAACTGAACAAGATTGTTTTTTAAAGATAATACAGTCATTATCCAAAATGGTGAGAAATTTTATCATCAAAGATCAAACTTATCCACGTGGCAAGATGATTTTTAAGCACTGTAACGGGATCCTTGAGGAACAAAAAACTAAAGCAAGTTTGCGTTTAAGACAGAAATAAGAAGTTTCTGGATCTATACGCACAGGCGGGCGAAATAATGTAACAATCTTAAAATATTTCAAATCAATCAAATCAAACCTATCACTAAGTATATACCTATCATCAAGAAAGAAAAAGTTTTGACAAATAAAATATTCAGTAAAACTGTAAATAATTTGTATGTTTTCAACGTCAAATACTTTCACATACACATTCATGTAACTTATTGCTAACTTATCTGCTGAAGGTGAAAAAGCAGCGTAAGTTATACAGCGAGTCATATCACCCAGGTACTCTCCGAAGAATTTGTCGGCGATTAAATTGGCGCTTTCCTCTTTAATAACGTCATCCCAACCATTAACCAGTTTGTCTTCATGCCACATACAGTAAATTATCTGATCCTTAAATTCAACTTCAGCAAACACGTGATACTTAGAGCTACATGCAAATACGTGCACATTTCGATAATTTTCAAAATTCACTGATATTTCTTTTCGCTTGTTTTCAACATTTAAAAACACTAAAGAATCAGTTTTTTGACAAGTAAATAATACATCACTCACCTCAAAAATTTTTTTTGTACCTTTTAGTTCATCGAAACTATAAACAAGTTTGGTCAAATCATTATTCCAAAGCTCAGGAATATTTTTTGCCGTAAGCAAAATAACTCCATTTTCTACAGCAACCATGTCACTAACAAAACATTCCTTGACAACAAAGTCAAATGTGTTGAGATTGTATATAATTATCCTTGATTTTTCTTCATTGCTCCGATACAGAAATTTTCCATTTGAGCAAAATTTCTCGTTATAAAAACTGTAACTGTTAGTAAAAAATGCACGTGGTATTGAATAAAGATAACAGTCATATCCGTATTCAAAGAAAAGAACATTGTCGTTATTCAAAATAAAATAATACGTTGCTACTCTAATAAAGGAAAAGCTAGATATGTTGTCATCGAAAGGATCAAGAGGATGCGGCAAAAAATGCAGATCATGATTCAAGTCAGGAAGTTTCTCACCAGTGGGATTCACATAGAATTTTTCACACCCGTAATAACACCAAGAATGAAGACCAACAGTGAACAAAACACCAGACTTACTTAAATTACCAGACGGTAAATGATCGTCGTAAAAGAATGTTTCATAATTATTCGCTACATCAAATATTTGAACCATTTTTCTTTCCTCAATGACACACAAATATCTTCCAGAATTAGAAAAACACAGTGAGCTCACATTATTACATCTAATACTGCGTTCCTTCTCACCTTTCTCAACGTCCCATACTGTCAAAGTATCTTTGTAACTAGTGACCATTGTGTACTTATCCTTAGAAAAACATTTGTTGGTAAAGAACTTAGAAGTACAATCATCACAATGGAAAGGACTGGAAGAAATTCTACCATTAATATCTATTATCTTATCAAGCTGGGAAGCAAAAATCAAATCTTCGAATGGATGAAAGACAACGCTAAAGTCTCCCTCCTCATATTGCTTAAACTGACCAGCAATATTTTTTATCCATAAACATCTGTTTGTTCTCAATGAAAAAAGTTGCACGATGAATCCTTCATAACCACAGACGACGTAATCATGATTTCGTGAAACATCAACAGACTTCAAATTTCGAATTAAACGTAATAATCGAGCCTTTACAAAACCCGTGTCTTTGCACTCTAGATATGGTGAGTCTTTGAAACGTGTTTGAAGCATTGTGGTGGCTTGAGACGACAGATCATTGACGTTGGTGGCAACGTTTTGCAAAAAAAATACTTTATTGTGAAAGTACGTCATTACAGAATAAACTTCATTAAATAACAATCGAATGTCCTCAGAAATATTAAAGTAAACATCATGTGCGATGAATAATTTAAAATTTTCAAAAGTACGACGTGAGTCAACCAGCATGGAAGCAACTAAAACTTCCAAGTCAACAAGATATTTACCAACATTTTCAACGATACATTCATTATCAGAAATAGCAAGTATATGAAGCAACCAATATTTGACTGAATATCTCACTGACGCATGTTTAATGACGTCATAGTTTACACCTTCGGCTTTGAGGTTATCCAAAGATTTTAAACAAATATCTAAAACAAGTCGATGACCACAGGGAGTTTTTACTGAGTAAATATGTTTTCGACCATCCAACAACCAATCATTTAAAGATTTGTGAAAAAACGAAACACATCCTTCTCCATTGGTAACAAACAGACAAGAGATAATCTCTCTAACCTGAAGTGATATGTAATTTGAATTCAAACAAAGAACGTCATCGATCATTTCCCAAGGAAGAGGTTCTTTAGCAACAGCCAAAGCATTTAAAATTGACTGAAACTTTTCGTTACTGATATCTAATTCCTTACTTAATCTTGTTATACAAATTTTGTAATATTCATTGAGATCTTTTGGTATGGAGCCTTTCAACAAATCCTGATTTTTGACTTCGCTGCTAAGAAGTGATGCAAGCAACATAAGTCCGTCAGCTTTTTCTGCCAATATGTTTTTAACATCAGATAGGCTGCCAGTAGAGCCGATTCTTTTTTCAATCAATAATTTAATATCCTCTAAATTGCGATCATCGCTACAATTAATGAACAGTGGATTTAATTTTTCGAACTTATTCAAAGCAACTTCGTTAGGTCGGGTTGTAATTACAAATCGAAAACAATTCGGAAGTTTGTGCAAGTGATTAGCAATCAAATTAGCAAGGTCATCTCTTTCTGAATAACCACATTCATCAAGAGCATCAAGCACAACTAACATTCGATTGGGAACTTCGGAGATATTATAAAACAACTCAGTAAAAAGAAGGGAAAATAATCCTTCAACATTCATGTTATTCAGAGGCTCACAAAGTTGACCCGAAAGTTTTTTCACAAGAAGTTGTTGGTAAGAAGGAAACTTACGACTAACTTGCATCGCTAAAGATTGAAGAAGTACATTGGCTTTATTGTAACGACTGTTGTTGTGTTGAAAGAAATGAACTGCAGTCAAATTTTCTGGATAACGCTTACATAAAGTAGCTGCAATTACAGACTTTCCCATGCCAGCAACAGCAGAAATAACAAATGCACGATTTTGAGAACTGTCGTCTTCGAACCAAGCTAAAAACTCTTTAAAAACCCATTCCCGTGTTCCATGCAAATATCTTTCATAATGATGTCTAATTTCACTTTCAAAGTTACAGCTAACAAGGTTTTTTGTCAAAATATCTTCTTCTGGAACTAAGTGAGGGTGATGTCGTATTTCATGTACTTCGTCTTTCATTACTGAGACAAAATCTTTTACCTGTTGTAAATCTTTCTCTACACCCTCCACTGTTCTCTTAATACCTCTCTGCTCAGTTTTAATATCAGTTAAATCGCTCTTTAATCTATCCCATTCTCTCAAAATTCTTTTATATTCTTCAATACCAAACAACCCATTTTTCAATCTATCTATTTCTTCCTGACTTATTCCTAAACGAACTAATGGTTCCCTTACTTCCAGCCAATGATTTTCAAATTCATCAGAGCTTACTGAAGTGCTAGGTAAGTGAGCAAAACGACCATTACGAAACAACCTGATACGGGTAATATCTGCTTCAGTTGAATAATCAGTGGGGTCATTTACTGACGTCCATATTGGATCACGTGGTGGTTTTAAGCCACAAATATTACGCAGGAGAATACAAAGTAAAGTAATGTCAAACTTATTTTCATTTGGTAATATTGGAGGAGGAGGATACAGTAGATCCCATTGATGTTGCTTTATTTGCTTATCTTTTAGCAACAAAAGTTTATCATAGTTTGCTGTGTCATTTAAAACATAAAATAAATCAGTACCTGACAGTTGTTTCCTCAATGTTATTCTTAAAGCTTCTCCACCAACATCAACAATTAATCTCATCAACTTAAAACCATTAATTTTCTTTTTAGAGCTCAAGACAGACCCCATGTCAATGTTAGCTGAAAAAAGTAGGTAAGACTTTTATCGTACAAATTCATTGTGATTATAAAGGAAAACCTGCGGCCGGTTACAAGAAGGCAGAGTAGTTTTATCCATTAGATGGCAAATTGTTTTGAACTTTTACAAAATCTCTTAAAAGGGAATAATATGTGATTTGAACTGAGCAATTATTGAAATAAAACATTGCTTCAAAGATTACAAAAATTTCTTTCCCCTAAGGAACATGTAAACACCTTTTTCTACAAGTTTGAAAATTTTACTATCCGACGAATAGTGTTATCCACGCTTTGTGCAACTGTCTATGATTTTAAGCCTTTCTGAGGAAAAATTTGAGAAATTTGGTCAAAACAACAAGCTTTTATAGCATCTTGAAGTTGTGCATTTTTGGCCCAACGCCGTCGTTTTCTATAATACAAAAGAGACTGGCAATAGAAGGTACTTTGACGTCATCCAATACAGTCAGCATTCGGGCATATTTAGCTTTTATTAAACATATACATTCTTTCACGCTGTTTAATTATATGTCTTGCGAAGAAAGCAATAAATTAAAATCAGTCAGATAATTCTGACAAAAACTTTATTCCGGGATACGTGACAGAAAACTCCGAAAGCAATGAAACTTGAGCGATGATTCGGATTTTGACTCCAAAGCCTGGAAGGTCGGAAAGACACAAGTTCTAATTTCATCTATTTTAAGCCCTGAAAAATTAGCGTTCTTTTGATTCGGCAAACAATTAAACTGACGCTCCAAATCCTCTGGTTTTAATCGAGCCGAACAAAGTGTTCAAGCACTGGAAGGCTAAAAAAGGCGCTTTGCTTTAAAACCCAGATATTCGGTCTTCGCTTGGCCTCGGGCCTTTTATCATTATAAGGCATAGTGTGAAGACTCATACGAGATCAAAGGCATGACTCATTCGTACAATTGTCTGCAACGTAATTATTTACCATTTTTCTGCTTTTACTAGTGCAAAGGCAATGCTTTTCGACGCTTATAGACTTACGTTGTGCCTCAGTCAGCATTGCCTTGATAGCAATTGAATACACGACTCGTGTAACACGAGTACCTTGGATGACGTCAGAAAATTAGCTAGTTTCAGACTCCTCATTATCACGGACATGGTTCACAAGAATATACGATTTTAGTGAATTTAACGCTTTTACAAAAATCAAACAATTTAAACAAAATTCAAAATGTTTCCCTTAACGAGGCTTAGAATCATCGACAGATTTGATATTGCTAAAATAGTTTTTTGGTGGAAGGGACACTTTAAGACTCACAAGGTAAAATGCCTATTATTTTCACAGTAAAAGAATATAAAAACGTACATAGAAGGACTAAAATTTTTATCAGTCTGGCTACACCACTGAAAACTTTATTCTTTAAAAATTCATAACCATTATCATTGTTTAGAAGGTATTATGATAAAAAAATGAGCAGGTGTAATTTATTTGGACTAATACTTCATTCAAGACTTAGGACCTAAGGAAGACATAATGTAATTAGGACAAGGACATAATGGACATAATGTAATATAGTACATAATGTAATATAGTACACAATGTAATATAGTACATAATGTAATATAGTACATAATGTAATATAGTACATAATGTAATATAGTACACAAGGACATAATGTAATATAGTTCAATTTTATAGAGAACATACAGTAGATTGCATTGAATATTTTTGTGCCATGCATATCTTATTCCGCAAGTGATTACCATAGTGGCAGTCAGACACTACCATTTTTTGACCAATAGGTGCACTGAGCTGGCAAACTACACCCAGTAATATAATTATATATACAGCAGAAAGTTGCACAGAAAGTGGTCCTACTGTATATTCTCTTTACTGTGGTTGGGGTGGCATAAACATTTGGATGTAATTATCCCTAGACAACAATGGTTTTCAAAGGAACTTAACACATGTAGCCTATATTATGCATACATAATATGATCTCCAAATTAAGGTACTCATTCCCCTTACAAAGACAAATTTTTAAGATTTTTTCAAAAAAATTTTTTTTGATGTTCTAGGTAGTTGGGATACTGTATTTTAAGATTACATAGTTTGTTTTTATCTAGGAGGTATATTTTTATGTGGAAAAGACTTTTGAAATCATCCTTCCATAATTTTTCCCCTTGACAACGCCTTAGCAACCACTTTCTAGCAACTTTTTCTTATGATAAAAGCCTCCGTAAATAATTTTTTTGAATTCTTCTTTTGGTGGATGTATTTTCAAAGCCTTTTCTCCTAGCTGCTTTTGATTGGTCCAATTTGGACACCATAGTAACGGACAATCTTTGTCCAAAGCGAGCACAGTGATTGTCCTCTGATTCGAAGTCTGGTTTAAACGGTTGAAATTTTGTATTTTTACTGCGAAAACTTGGTTTCTTAGTGTTCTATAACTAACCCTGTTGTATTTGGATTATATTTTGTTTAAAAAATGGGAAATTTGCGAAATAGAAAGAGAAAAGCGGTTCGAACTCCCCCATCAAAAAATGCCAAGATGCCCAAACATGGCTGCGCCGGCGGTGAAGATGATGTTAGTGAGGGGCCTTCTGGAGTTAAAATCGGCACGCCTAGTGCAAATTATGGATCATTTTCTTCGCCTATTGGTATATTGAGAGAAGGTACAATATTTATGGACTTGTCCTTGCTGTTTGGGGTATTTGACGAGTTGCTAAAATGCCCAGAATGTGATGGCAATGTAAGTTCTCATGTCGACATCAAGAAAAAGAATGGCTTCTCACATTACATTGTTTTGCAATGTAATGCAGAAAAATGTGGCTGGAAATACTGTTTCACTACATCGAAGAAGCAAGGTTATTCCCACGAAATGAATGTTAGAACTGTGTTGGCATTCAGAGAAATTGGACGAGGACATGCAGCAATGGTCACCTTCTGCAAAATAATGAATATGCCAGCTCCACCTACTCGTCGTGTGTTTACAAAGATTCAAAATAAGAAGCTATTGCCTGCTGTCAAACAGTTGGCAAATGATAGTATGCTAACCAGTGCTTTGAAGGTGAGAGAAGTCAACAGCAATGGAGAATGTGGTATTTCAATGGATGGTACTTGGCAGAAAAGGGGGCATGCTTCGCACAATGGAATCGTAACAGCTATTTCCTTGGACCCAAGAAGTGCATAGATGTTGAGGTGCTGTCAGACAAGTGTCAACAATGTTTGAAGTGGGGGAAAAAGCAAAGTGATCCCAGGTACCATTCATGGAAAGCATCACATAATTGTAAGATCAACCATAAAGGGAGTGCAAATAACATGGAATCATCGGGAGCAGTGAAGATTTTTGAAAGATCGGTTAACACCAGAGGCTTAAAGTACACCAGTATGCTTGGTGATGGAGATTCTGCTACGTACAATAGTATTGTTGAAAGAAAACCATATGGAGAAGAGTGCACTCCTAAAAAGTTAGAATGTATCGGGCATGTTCAAAAGAGGGTGGGAAGTCGTCTAAGGAAATTAAAGAATACGAAGAAAGGGGTGAAATTGAGTGATGGGAAAGGAATAAGTGGAAAAGGGAGACTTACTGATGGAAAAATTGATATGCTTCAGAATTATTATGGTTTAGCTGTGAGAAACAATCTGAATGATGTAAATGAAATGGCTAAGCAGATTAAGGCAGCTCTCTTTCATGTAGCCTCAACAAATGAAAAACCCCGCCATCAGCTTTGCCCTATTGGAAGTGACAGTTGGTGTGGTTACCAGAGAGATAAAGAGACATATGTACATAAGAATGGTATTCCTGATTGCATTGTAGAGCTAATAGAGCCCATATTAGATAATCTCAGCAACCCTAGCTTGTTGTCGAAATGCACACACGGGTTGACCCAGAATGTAAACGAGTGTCTGAATGGTCTTATCTGGGATCGGTGCCCTAAGACAATTTATGTGGAACAAGAAACTGTTGCTCTAGCCACTTACTTGGCTATACTCAAGTTCAATGATGGGGACATTTCCTTGTTAAAGATGCTAACTGAATTGGACATAGTACCCGGTTTGTTTGCCAGTAAGGGAGCTCATGATTGCGATCGGGATCGCATCAACCTCTCAGTCAAAATGAGCTCTGAAAAGGTGAAAAAAAGAAGAAAAGTGCGCAGGCATTTAAGAAAAAAACATATAGATGATGCTAAAGACAAAGAAGGTGTAACTTATGAACCTGGTCATTTCTGAGGCAGTTTTAAGGTCATTAAAACACAACTATAACTTTAAATAACAATTTCTTACTTTCATGATTTCGGCAAAGAGGACTATCTTTGTGACACCATAACTTCTTTATTATTAATAGTATTAGGCTAAAATTTTGTGTGTGAAAAGCAAATGAACTATTTTAGTGCTTGACACTCTTTAAATTTTTGTATTTATCTTTAATGATGACTAATTGAATGTTGATCTCTTAATTAGAGTCAAAAATTTCTAATATTTTCAGTTTTTCTCAAATTTTTTTTTCTAAAAAATAGTTTCCAAAAATCCAAGAGTGTCATGCACTAGCCCAGGTTATAAGCTTCCCAAATATATATTGTATGTCTCATAGTTACGAATAGAACTTGAGTTATCATGTTTGCCGTGAGACTAATTTAATGGTAATTAATTAGCCGCCATGTTGGTTAATTAGCATAATTAATGAGTTATGACAAAAAAATTAGAGTGATGCGATTTGTACGAGTATGAACTTTCTAATACTGTTATTTTTGGCTGCCAATCATCAGAATTAAAAAAATTTACTTCTAAGGGGAATGAGTACCTTAACAATCATCCTACAGTCCTGACACAGTTTTTCTTGCTAAAAAAGGGAGTGTGTCAAGAAGTCAACAAAAGTGATGAAAGCAATAAAAATGGTCAACTAAACATTGTAATAAGAAAACAAATGAAAAATTGGAGGACATAATTTTTATGCGAGTTGACTCAAAATTGTGTAAAAGATGTAAGAATCTGTACGGCTATGACCAAAACCATTTTTCATTGGTTAGATTATTATTTTAAAAAAAATTGGCAAACTACATGAAATAGCTAGCAACTGAAGAATAAAAACATATCATATTCATAAATTAATATGAGCCCCAACCCAACAATTATTGATCTTCCTGTACATAAATGAATCCAAGTAAATAGATAAATCTTGAAACAAAAATATATTTAGCGACCACATATTATCCACAATCATTGATCAGTTATAAAAGATGAAGAACACATATAAAATATTGACTTTAGTATGTTATTTCAGTAGCAAATCAACACATATCAACAAACAAGTTTTATCATATCAAAAGTTCAAAATATGTTGATGTCCGTAACTAAGTGATGAAAACCCTCTACAACGATCATTTTAAGATTAAACGATGACAAAAATAACTTTCGAAGAAGAACAAATCATGTTAAACACAGTGATTTAATGTTCTGCTTCACTTATATTCATTTCCTGTACAATGTTTGAAATCTAACTTGAATATCTTGTTTATGTTTGTTGTATTTTATGGTTTGACAATAACCATGTTTAAATACTTATCACGAATAATAAAGCAATTTTCGTACAAGTTTTAGAGTTGAACTGTAACTACAATGATCATTGTTCATAGAAATATTAAATGACAAACCATCTTTGTTCTACTTATAGATAGGTAAATAAAATAAAATTAATTCGAGTCGCCATCTAAGGAAGTAAAATCTTATTCTTACCGTTATATTAGATGAAAGGAATATTCCTTGATATCATGATCATATATCGCCAGAAAAATATTTGTGGATGATAACATAAGAATTGCACAAACTCTTCCTAATTCATATTCAATAAAGGGATGGGCGACTACAGATTACTGAGTAATCGATACCGCTAGATACCAGGCTTCTAGCGAAACAATTCATACCATATATGTCGATACCATAGTAGCATCGTAGTAGTTTCTATTACTCTACAAACACTGTAATGTATTAGCTAAAATTCATAGGTAAATTTGTCTTTGTACGTTTTATATAACGAAATTTATATACAAGAAACTCAATGTGGACGTAGCTTTGTCCCCCGTTTATCGTGTCCGCCGGGAAAGAGTTAACATTGATTTCTATTGTCTCGGAACTTGGAATCATCCCATAATGAATTTAATATGGCATTATAGCATGCTCAATGCGTATCCGCGGACCTGATATTCCACAATTTAACCAAACCGAAGAACTTTGATACAAAAGTAGAGTGGCTAACAATATCATTTCAAAATTAATGTGTTATACAATTTTACTCACCACATATGACCTAAACGTCTAATTCTTCATTTCAACACGTTGCATAACGTAGTCACCAATATGATTCAGAAAAACATTTTCAATAGAAGATGCCAAAAGTATTCGTGTCGATCACGAATGCATGACAAATTTCTTTTCTGAAAATCTGAGACTGAAGATTACCAGATAGAGTGGGTACATGAGTGGGTACAAAACACCGGTCGGCTTAACAGTTCTTCAATTCAAAATGTCTTTACGCATCTATGGAAACATTTTGCTTTTGCAAAAGAATGCACGAAAATTTGAGAAAGCTTGGAGATTGATTGCATAAAATGTCGTAAAAAATATGGGTAGACCTCACATGGTCTTCATTTATGGCTGAAATCTCTTTTCTGTGTTGATTTTTGTAAGTGAAGAAATTATGGCTTTGTAGTATTACCGTAATTGAAATATTACGGTAAATTATAGTCTTGTTTTTATAAAAGATCACAACTTTTTCTGAGCATGTTTTTTCTTTTATGTACATAAGAAATTATCAATATTGTTGCCAGTGAGGTGCCAGGCGGGTAACGGATTCTCAATATAAATATTACAGCCCAACATATAATTCTGAACATAGCCATAAGCAATTTGGTTTTGTGAAATTTATTAAAATAGTGACGTTTCGTCTTGACTCAAGACATCTTCAGACTAATAAGGAAGTTAACAACGAATTATAGGTATAGAGAGAGTTATTTACGTAGTTAGAGGTATAAGATTACTGTGGATGTGTAAGTGTGATGTGATGTATAGTTAGGTTGAGGTGTTGAGACTAGAAAAGCCGGAAAGTCAGAACTTAGTAAGATGAAGTCATCTTTGCAGTTCTTAGTCATTCCTTCATCTATAGTATTTAACAGCAGTGATATATCATTGCAGTAGCCACAATTTTCTGTCAAGGGGGAGGAGATAAAAGGGGAGGAAAGCCACAACCGTCGTTGTAATTAATGTAAATAAAACAATATATTTTAGTGGGCCCATGAATTTTGCCAGGGGGCTGGGCTCTCTGTCTAGCTATGTCACCATTGATTGATACAAATGATTTCCTTTGTATTGGATAAGTGATAATTCCCATGTGATGTTTTTTTGAAGAAAATTTTTTATTGGCCTGTTGGTCCCAGAAAATGAAATATTTTATGCAACCATGCCCATAAGCTTGAATAAAGCAGTATAATTTATGCAGCTTCTTAAGCAGATATGATAGTATGGCATCTACAGGAGCAAGCACCTTTAATACTGCAATTTGTATAGAGCTGTACAACAAGTATGGGTCTATGACATAGGGTAGCTGAGATTGGTGAATATTTTTTTGAAACTCTACTTTGCATATTAACATTTTGTAGGAAAAATGGCATCGCTCTTGCACCTTCTCTAACCAAGGTTATGATGGGTGTACATCCCTAGCTTTACGACCCTCCGTAAATCCTTTCCTGTGATCATTTATGATTACTTGACAGTAGTTTCACTATTTACTTTAGACTTAGATGCAGACTGACCTGTTCTTGACTCACTGCAAGCCCTCAGAAAAGGGTGCTGTTTGTAGCAAGTAGCCATTTCTATGTATAATATAATGACTCGTTAATTTTGAATAGACATCAAATGTATGAGCTCCATTTAAAAGATTTACCTAACCTTTTATCCTTAAGTGCTCACATCAACATTCAAAGCTCTTCATTTAACCCTACGCCGAATGCATTAGAGGCAAAAGAAAAGAGATAAAATTCCTCATTATCTTTTAAATGTATTTGGCTCATGTAAAATGCGACGTATGAAACAGGCCCAAGTCTCGTCTACAGTTTTACTTTTATGCTTCGAACTTACGGCAATAATTCACACACCAATTTAGCAAATTACTTTCGAACGACTTAAAATTATAGCGTTTAAAACAAAATTCGAAAATATTGTTGTTGGCTTCCAAAGTCAAAACACATGGCACATGCTGTAACCATGACGACGTGCGTAAAAAAATTTATTTTATATTATACAAATACTTTGGTGAAATGCGTCGTCAGATCTTAATGTAACTCACGATAATGACATAAGGCTACTTAGAATGTGAGAAGAAAATAATAGAACAGCAAGTTCTTATTAGAAAAAACTAATTTCTTGTACAAAGTCTAAAGCTACTGGCCAATTGGCAAAGCCAAAGCGAGGCGAAAAAAAGATAAAACCCCTAAAGACAAGATAAGACCGACGTTATATTGACATATTTATACCACACATTGATCGCCCACGCATGTCATTGATGATGTCACGTGTTATTTTACTTTAACATTCCCACAGGCCCTCACTTACGAAGGTTTACAATGCTCTACGAAGTTGTGATACATGATATTTTTCTTTTCCAAAGAGAATTCTTAGTTCAAGAAATATATGCTCTAGATGATTAGATGAGCAAATGATCAGAGGAGGCAAAATCATGAGAAAACTTTGAAAATTCAGATCTCTAGACGGCTGAAAATGGCCATTTTATAGATAACTTTTTAAAGTAATTATGTTACTTGCTGTATGAAATAGCAACATCTTTGAAAATTTTTTTTCAAAAACGCTTTTTCCATGAATTAAAAGCATAAAGGACCAAGGTGTTGATTACATAAGAACGTTATCAAGGCTAGGAGAAGCAGAATGTGATTAATATATACGATGAATCCCCGATCTACTGTGTTTAGAAACAAAGAGGGACAAAAAATTTCGTTAAATATAACCAATTTACACCTTGCCCATTGACTAATATGTTAAGCATACTTACGAATAAAGTTAATGTACAGTTACAATGCTTGATTATTCCCAATGGTTATTGAATTTGTTATTGAATTTGAATATTTAATGACCTTCTCGGCTAAACTTGACAATTCCAATAAATTATTGACAACAAAAAACTTTTTTGGTTACAACAGATAGGGCGCCCCTCCTTATTTGACTAGAAATTATTGGATACAAAAAATATCAAGTTGTTTTTCCCCATAATATCTCTAACCTGTATGTACTTTCCTATTAATGACATTGGCATTATATTGGACGTGACGATATTTGAACCTTAATTAACTTACTTGAGTAAGTCTACATTTTACTATGGACTAATGATAAAAATATTCTATTTATGTTCTAATTTACTCTGTCTATTTCATAACAGGGGCGTAGTAAACTCGTTGATGAGGAAGGGGGGGAGGGTACAAATTTATGAATGCATGTCTTAATCTATAGAAAACAATGGATTTTAAAAAGAATTTAATTCTGCAGAACATGCATGTATGAATAAGTTCTCCCCCAATTATTGAGTTTGCTAAACAATTGCATATGGATGTAATATTTATGATCATTTTAACAATTTAAATGGTTGTAAAAAGACAAATTGTATTTCGACATGCCATAACAAATTACAGTCATCAAAGTTCTGGAGGAACCGACATAAAATCAAGATGACAGTCCATATTCTGCCTGCTGTCCTCAAAGAGATTGCTGACCTCAAGGTCTATTAATTCAAGTCCATTTAGTTCATCTTGATTTGTTTCCTGGAGTGAATTGGCATCATCAACTTGATTGGATTCCTCTGTCAGAAATTATAGAAATTAGTAAAAAGGTTTTTTATTTGTTTGAAAATGTAGTCGAGAACGGTATGTAGTGAGAGACAGCCAATCTATTGACTCGTGAAAGTCATAGTGGAATACATCGTAAACAAGCTTAAAGAAAAATGACAGAATCAAGAACAACCAGATTTGTCAAATGGATCACTTTAGGGCAGGCTCTGTGAACTGTGAGTAGGGCTTATTCACATATTTAGTTGCGCCCAACTGATTTCTTTTGAAAGCAATTTACTGAAAGTGCCAATACAACGAAAATTTTGAAAGTTAAGTTATGTTTGCAATCACTATAACCTTTGAAATTACAGTGTACTTTCTAAAACAGTAAATGCATATCCTTGTGATTTTGACGTTTTTGTTATTTCCAATTGATGTAACTTGTGTCGCCATATTGCATAATGAGTTCCCACAATGTTTCAAATACTCTTCAGTTTCCTGGCAACTTCAGGTCGATACAAGTAGGCAGCATTTTAAACCATTAACCACGTCACAATGAAAGCAACTCCGTCCTTGTGAAGTAAAGTATCAGTAAATATACATAATAATTTTAGTTCTCATTATGCAATGTGACGTCACAAGTTAGATATATCGGACATAGCAAGAACCTCAATATCTCAAGAATAAAAAGTGATATGCATAAACTGGTTTAGAATGTCCATTGTCATTTTAAAACATCTCTTCAATAAAACTATTACTCAGATAACAAAATTTTCGTTTCATAGGCACTTTAAGAAATTAAACAACTCGCTTTCAAAAAAATCAGTCTGGCAAAATTGAATATATGAATAACACATCCTTCCCCACCAATCAACGTTTACCAGGTGGCCCTGACTGTGAGATGTATGTGCGGGGGTATCAAAAAAATAGTGACGAAAAACTTTACGAAATTGATCAGCGCGCAATATTTGCAAAAATTTTAAGTAGAAATAGGCAGTTGGACTTCCAGTGGTTCATGCGATAGTTAAGAA